AAAGTACAGTACAAAGAGAGAGAAAGCTAACCTTGCTCGGCACGACTTCTGGCGTGGAGGACAGGAAGGCGGGTGGGGAGGCGGTTACTGCTTGGAGGGAGCGTCCCCCTCCCTACAGGAAGCCGCGACCACGTGTCACGGGAGGGAAAATGGCCGCAGATCCTGTTCGTCACCCGATGCAGAGTTCGTGAACGGAGGCAAAATTTTGCAACCGGAGCTGTTCGTGAACCGAATTGTTCGTGAAAAGAAGCGTTCGTGAACCGAGGTACCGCTGTACATGTTCACAAGTATTTATTATGCACCTTCAGTCACTGCATGTATCATGGCTTGCAACTCCCCCTCAAGTGGACTATGTGAAATTTCTTAGTAGCAGAGGGAGTAGTCGATACACATAAGGAATATTTTGTCTTACTCAGCCATCAAGCTCCTAATTTTAAATTTTGCAAGCTCTCTTTAATGCTGTGACATCAGCTTTCCAATGGACTGTTTATTTGTGCAGGCTTTTTTAGCGGTCTGCTGTGTCAAAGCAAATGTTTCAGTGAACAGGCAGTGCGCTGGGAAAGGCAATGGGTTGTAACGCTCCTCTGGCTGCCCTCTTTCTAAGTTGGCTGCCTAGTCACTACTGTAGCTTCTCTAGCTGTGGCAGCCACCAGCATTTACAGGCCCAATCTAGGTGTTAGAGAAAGGTCTGCATTGTAAGATGCAGAGGATAAAGGTGGGTGTTCCTTTTTCTGTTTCCTGCATCCAGTCTAGACTGCCGCCTTGTGGTTGGTCACGGGCGGGTCTCCTCTGAGGAGTCAGGAAAGTTTTCTTCCTGAATTTTGTGATATTTGTAGATGCCCGTTAAAGACCTACAACCAAGCTTTCCGTGTAAGTATTGGATGATTTTTTTTTTTATCCCCATCTCTTTTATTGTTTAGGTTTAGGTTATTTTTTTAATTTATGGTTTTATCGTCCACTTTCTGTTTTGTAAATTGCTTTGAGATATTTTTGTATGGAAAGTCGTGTGGGAGGGTTTACATTGATACTAGGAGGCACATTGAAATTCTCTGCTGCAAACAATCTCTAGTGCAGTGATAGATCCCAAATTTATAGTATGACTAACCATTAGTCATAAACAATTTGTGCTGTTTTATTTCAAGGCCTCTAACTGGCAGTCCTTTGTGTTTGCGTCCATTACTCTGTCTGGAACTCTTGAAAAATGGCCTGTAGTTAGGTTTGAACTGAAAATTGAGTTTTTTAAAATTAGGAACACAAGTCCTATTAGGAAATAAATTTGTAATTAAAATCTGTTTTCAGTTATTCATATGCTAAAAAGGGCATGCAGCATACAAACACTTAAGTAGCTTTTTAGTTACAAGATCTGTTGAGCTGAACTCAAAACTATTAATATTCATACAAACCTTTTATCCTGCCAAATTGTTTTCAGATTTACTGTATCATATGAGTTCACGCCTTCAAGATTTTACTTGTGGGAATTGACACCAGATGTTGGCTGGGTGCCCAATCCTAGAGTGTTCTTAATCTGAGGACTTTTTAAATAGAGGAGCAGGAATAGTTGGAAATTCATAATGGAAAATTGGTATGGGGGGGGAGATGCATCAATCAGAACTCTTCCTAATAATAAATTTAGATAAGAACTTAATTTTTTTAACCCCAATGGGGGCATTGAGAAATAAAGGGTTATCAGCATGCTTAAGGAAACCTTAAAGCTAGCTGAAATACAATAAAAATAAAAATTTACATGGACTGTTTCCAAAATATGTCAAAAAAACAAAAAAACAAATGACAGCATACTTAGTAGCCACAGCATGCTTCTGCTTAGAAGAAAAAAAAAGGAAAAAAATAGAGTGCACTCACTTGGAATGGAGTACTATTGAAACAGTATGGCTAGCTGGAACAGTGAACAGGAACATGGCATAATAACTACTTGCATGGCACATTTGTATTCTAAAATGCATTTGTTAAAAAATATTAAGAGATTCCACTGCATTGCTAGCTTCACCCAATAGGAATGTTAATTCCCCCTGTGAATTTGGGGAATTTGCTGGGGAAAGTTCAAAACAAAGGGAAGACCAAGAGGGTCAAGTGGTGGTAGACTCATGCTGCAAAACTTGGATTTTGAAGGTTAGTCTGGATATTAGCTGTTTTTGTTTTTTGTGAGGGGTTTTGTGCTTGATGAATTTTGCTGTTTAGAGAGTATCTTTTTTATATGCTCTTCTTCCCTTCCCTGTCCAGTTACTTCTCACCTCTGTCCAGTTTTTTCTTCTCTTTCCAGTGCAGCTACTTCTTGCTCTTATCTCCAGCCTAGCTGTTTTCTTCTTCTTGTTTCTGCTGGGAGGGGGTGGGAAGGGAGAACACATACATGTCTGTGTATAGGGAGAAACTATAGGACATGTGGACTTCAACTCCCAGAATTCCCCAGCCAGCCAGGCTGGCTAGGGAATTTTGGGAGTTGAAGTTCACGTCTTAAAGTTGCTGAGGTTGAGAAACACTGGTGTAGGGTGTAAGAGTGGTTTCTGAGTGGCTTCATATCTGCAGATGAGAGACCAAATAGTTTCTAAATGGGATATCTTACTATATAGACAATATTATTACTGGTATTATCACTGCTATCAGTAGAGTTACTGGTTCTATTCGTTTTTGGAATCTGACTTCTGGCAGACACCTCTCTCTCTCTGTATTGCAGAGAGGGAAATCTCCGGGACTGGTTTCAGCTATGGTTAGGGAAACTGCATTGCCCAAAATCTGTATGTTTGTAATTCTTTCCTGTGTATTCCCATTTCTGGAGGGATTCTCTTACATTTAGGTTTGTCTTCCTTTTATTTATTACTGAACTTGTACCCCACCTTTTCGTTCATGCAAATAATCAGATAGGGATGTCCAAAATGCACCAATCTGGGATGAGAACATTTTGGAAAATCTAGAATATTCCATTCCCACACCAGATCATGCTCTTCTGGGGTGGTGTACCATTTCTAGAAATAAATCCTCCAAGCTGGAAGCAGTTTGAAGTGTGTGACCTGGAAAAGGTTTGATATGATCTGCTGGAAGAGTGGGATATTCCAAAGTTGTATGGAACATTCCATTCCCCAGGTCTCGTGAGAATGGGATGTGTGCCATTCCTTCTCCAAATCATGAAGGTTTCCGAAGGATCGCGAGAATGAGATGCCAGCTTACAGAAGGAATGAGAAGTGCCAGCTTGGGGAAGGAACAGGACGCCAGCTTGGGAAAGGAATGAGGCGTGGCTTGGAATTGAAGTCAAGGCCTGGGGGCGGTGGCAGCCCCTCTACTTCAGCCCCAGCCCTGGCACTGCCGAGTGCCGCCGTGCAGGGCGGCCAAAAGGGAATAGATGTGGGGGAGATAGGCAGGTGGGGGGAGTTGCAGCACCCCTGCAGACATAAGCACTGCTGGGCTGGGGCAGCTGCAGCTTTGTGCTGCACTGCAGAACCCCCCCAACTTGTGCATGGCCTGCATCAGGCCTCCCAGGGCCTCCCCCACCCCCGAGGTACCCCTGTGCTCCTTACTTGGGATGTCTGCTTAGCGACCCACGATTCTTGCTTAATGATGGCAGCAGTGTGTGCTGGGGTTGAGGTCACTAAGCAAAGCAGGCACGATTCACTTAATGACCACATTGCTTAGCAACCTAAATTCCGGTCCTAATTGTGGTCGTTAAGTGAGGACTACCTGTAATGGCAAGGGCTTATGAATGTTATACAGGTAGTCCTCGCTTAACAACCACAATTGGGACCGGAATTTAGGTCACTAAGCAATGTGGTGACTGGACCACATTTTATGACCCTTTTGCAGTGGTCATTAAGCAAATCACACAGTCATTAAGTGAATCACGCAGTTCCCCATTGATTTTGCTTGCCAGAAGCTGGCTGGGAAGGTCGCAAATGGTGATTGCGTGACCCTAGGATGCTGAAACCATCGTTAAGTGTGAGTTGGTTGCCAAGAACCCAGATTGTAATCGTGACTGTGGGGACACTGTGATGGTCATAACATCAGACACTGGCTGTCACTTTTTTAGCACCATTGTAACTTCAAAGAGTTGCTAAATGAACAGCTGTTAACCAAGAACCATCTTTAATCTGCAACATACGGAAGGCACAAGTGGCTCGCCCCTACTGTGGAGAATTTTTACTGTAAGTCTGTACATTTAAAATAACACATCTGAGTTACTATAAATGAAAATTTTGACACCCTGCTTTTAAAAAAGCTGTTTTATTGTTGTTAAAACAGTTTGCAGTCAAGAAGTCCTTACTTATCTGCTGGAAATCATCCATTAAATTTTTTTCTACCTCCTTCCAACCCTTATTCAAATTCCTGCTGTGTAATCTGGCTTAATTGTTTATGAATGAATCTGGTTTTGACGTTGTGTGTAATGTGTAAAGCTAACTTGAGAAAAGAAAAAGAGATCCATGTAACCTCTGTTTATTGTAAAACAAAGACTTATAGAAGGCACTGATTAGGCAATTGTTTATATAAAGAGACTGAATATTGCTTCCAACATTCCTTAAGATGTAGACATTTAACATGATAATAAAAAAAAGCCTGCCAGGAAAAAAGATAATTTTATGGCACATTCATTCCAGTCATTCTTTAAACCTGCTGGCGCTCTCCAGATGTGGTGGGCCTACAGCCAGAAGGCCATTCAGGTGGGAATTCTAGGAGTTGCAGTCCTAGAAGGCATCTGGGAGGCATCAGTTGGGAAAGGCTGCTACAAGCCCAAATTATACCATGCAATTCATATATAACAAGGTCAGGATTTCCATGATGAAAAGATTATACTTCAGCTATGAAAATAGTGTTTTAATGTTATGGCATAAAGAGAAAGTAAAATATTCATCAGGCAGCCCTAAAGTGACTCCTCAAGTTAGAACCATTTCGGTCTCTGCCCCTCCCATTTACTGTGGGAATACTTATCACTGACATTTTCTTTAACCTTCCAAGATATTAACCTCTGATTCAGAGCATCTCCTTTAATGTATTATGTTTACGTATTCCAGTAGTATCTGAAAAGAACAAATGTTTATCCTATATTTTGAGAGGTACAGCGTATGCAAAATAGGACTGCACAGCGTTTTGGATTCAGTTCCAAAAAAATACAATGTAGCACTTGTCTGCTGCTGCGTAAAGCAGTCTGTCTTTTCCTAGGACAGTGCAACAGTTGCAGCCACACAATCCTGGGAAAAGATGTAGCTGCTTTAAAGAACTGGATGGATGCTATGTTTGAGCATTCTGAGTCATTTTTTGGATTAAATCTGAAGCACTGCACAGCCCTTGTGACAATAATGCCCAATAAATGAAAGTTAGGGCATATAGCAAAATTTTCCAAGCCAGAACAGAGCCAAACTCTGACAGCAGCTGACTTCTTGGATCAAAAGACTTGGATTTGAATATTCCCTCTGCCAGTTCTTTACCACCATCCATTTTACATAATTCAGAGCTGTTTGTAATTATTAATTTGCCAGGGTGTGATAAATGTTGGAGCAATTGTAAAAATAATATATTTTCCCCTGACTCTGAAAACCTGGTAGTTACTTAGAAACTGCTGAAATAATCCAGGATTTAAAATCATTCTAGCTATATGCTTAAGGATAACTGCAATACCAAAAACTCTAGGCTTCAGCAGCCTTTAATGTTGATGCTCTGCAAGTATCACTTCAGTAATCAGGATCCTGAATCAATGAAAGCAGATACATCCTATTATTTGCAACAAAAGGCAAAAAAAACCCCTCCCTTTTGGGAATTCCTTGCATCCTGAGATAAGGATAATTCCAATGTGGTTATTTTCCTTCTTTCTTCAATATATCTTTCTTGATGTTAAGAAAATCAGATTTCAGTGCTTGACCTGTCTCCAAGCTCCTGAGACCCTGAAATTGTCCAGAGTGCTGAAGGAGGCTCCATCCAAGTTGACTGTGATGTCAAGTTGCCATTAAACACGTCATCTATTGAAACTGGAAGGTAATACAAATACATATGTATATCTAAAGAAATAGTAATCTTCCCCACCCTGACCAAATGTATTGGTCTACAATAGTCCTGATTTTCAGACAATGTAGTCAATGGCTGAACTAACTCAAATATTAGACTTGAACGTATTTAAAGGACTGAAAAGAAAAAAAAATGTGCAAACCTAGTAGTTTGTAAACTATAGTTTATGTCTTACCTTACTATAGAAACCCAGTCAGTTGTGGCTTATTCAACATACCAAGGCTAAACAACAGTGCCTTACTGCAGTGTGTGAACTTAATCACAGAATAAAGCTATTCTACTTATGAACAACGTAATGTTTAAAACCTCATAATAGATCACCAACTCACCTCTAGAGGTAACACTGAACTTCCTGTCTGAAAAGTTGTTTGAGCGTAAATTTGCTTCACTCATTTTATCCAGAAACTTAGTTATAATTTCTTTCTTCTCTGGATTGGTACTTGATAAGTTAAGAACTTTCCCATTCACTGAAACAGTGCTTTTGCTGATCCCAAACCAATAAAAGAAATCAAATAAGGCATCAGTTTTGAACTCATAGGAGAAACTCAAGCTTTCTTCATTAACAAGATGGGCTTCTGAAGGAAAAAACTTCTTCACAACATCCTGGAAATCAAACTGTATAAAGAAAAATGATTGTTATCCAATAGTCCAGGAATGGATGCAGCCCTTAAAGCCAGTTTTTTTTGGGGGGGGGGCAGCCCCTTATAGCTGCCATTTCTGCAAATGAACTTCATGGTTTCCTCCCATTTTGAAATAGGAAATGCATTCAAATTGTAGCTTTACACTTAATTTAAAAAAACAAAAACAAAAATGCTTCTGAAAACCTTGAAAAGAACTTACAAAATTCTGGCAATATCTATCCATGACATGGTACCTCTCATTTCTCCAAAAACCTAAATGAGCCCCCCTCATTGATCACCCATATAAATAAACATTGTTTTGGGGTGTTTAGCATGGAAGACAGTAGTATTAAATCCCACTGCCTTAAACTGTTGAGATTCAGCTAGCCTCTCTGTCTTTAGAACTGAGGATTTGCTTTTATGTTTTTGTTCCAGAATGGTAGATACAATCTGATACCAGCAACATGAACAGGTGACTAATGCAATCAGTCTGCATTTTTCATCCTGAGATCTGATTTTAAACAATAGACCTCATGGCTACAACAACACCTGAACCCATTCTTGAACTGTTCTGCTTCTTCCCTATCTCTTACTCTATGTACAGTCTTCTCAAATATTATATAGTCTTCCAGAATTTTGGGTGGGCTTAGCAGTATGGGGGTGACAGTAGTATTAAGGGCAGATTCCAGTTGCTGGAAATATTGTAGAAAGGCAATTTGTCTGTTGCCATCATTTAAAATGGTCACCAGAGAGTACAATAACTCCTGCTTGGTGTACTGTATTTTACAAAATGAGGGAGGGGGGGAGGTAAAGCACAGTATCTCCACCATATTCCACACAGACCATTAGAAATGTTGCCATCAACTAAGTTTTTTGCATAAACAACATATATGGACACTTTCTATCCCTAAAGCATCCTAGAGCTCAAGTTTGAGTCCTAGCTGCAGGAACAAGATGGTTTTACTAACTATTGGGCAGTAAGTCTGAGCTGCCAAATAGCAAAGTGTTAGAAAACTCAAATTCACATTCCCATTTTCGCTGTATTTGGGTGCATTTATGGCTGTATGAATGTAGATGTAGGGGAAAGGCTTCTTTTTCTAAGTTATCCAAAGAACAATGTCCTTTGGTCCTTAAAATTCATCCAAAATACCAACTTGAAGATAACAAGCTTATGTCAAACAAGAAATGTGCCTGACTCACCTGAAGTTTATAGCTTTCCCCAATCACAGAAGATATTATGTTGTTCATGCTATTCTCTATCTGTCTTCTCATCTTTGGGTGTCGAGTATTCACAAGCAAAGCGTATGTTTTTTCTAGTGGGATATGACATTGGTAATGTAGAAAGTAATAATAGAAATTTGCAGATTTCAAATACTGTTACTTATACACAATGTAGTTTTGCCCCTGGGTGGTTGTATTCACTACAAAACAAGCATATTGTTGTGTACCTTTTCTGAACCTGTACATTCCCAAGAAGGCATTCTCATGGGTGCAGCCTTCCTCAAACTTCCTTATGGCTCTCTAAAATACTTATCTTGAGTGTTGTTTAGAAAGCAATTTAATACAGTGCAGGCAAGTATGATTATTGAATTCCCTCCATTCAGCTATGTTGGCGCCAAGACAGCTTACAATATTTCAGTTCTCCAAAACTTTTGGTTAATTGGTATAACTCTGCATTTGAGCAGGATGGAAATACCTTCTTTTCACAACTTTTCAAGAAATTTGTGCTTTTATCTGTTTCACTTTAGGAGTTCATACTGAGTTATAGTAAAACCATTTTTAACAGATTCCTAGGGGAAGGGGATGTCCATTATTCTTAACTATATGGTACACATGAAAGTAAGTCATTGTGATTTGGGTCATTAGTGCAATGATATAATGCAAATGATGCAAATATCATCATATATCTCAATTTATGTCATTACTACTGGACTGCTTGAGATTAATCAATCTGTCTGTTATTTGGGGTGCATCTTGATGAAAATTGGGTCTGTTGCATCAGAAATACACTAATTTGATAGATAAATAAATAAATAAATAGGGTTGTTAATAAACATTTCAGTTATACATTTTTAATTATAATTGTTTTAAATGGTTACTAATTGTAAATATTTTAAAAACATTTTAATTGTATCCCTGCCTTAAGATTGTTATTAAAAATGAGAATGTGGAATATACATTTTTATAAATAAATCTGTTACTTTTTTTTTTTTTTTGCTTAATTATTGATAGGTCCACTATTGATGTTTCAAAGTTCTTGGTCATTTAAATTGTTTTATTGCCTTCTATTGTAAGCAATTTTAATCTTAGGAGAGCCAAAATATAAATATTAAAAACAAATAAGCAAGCCACATCGGAGAGTTCTTATTTAAAGTCTACTTTATACTTCATTGCTTCTATGCTACATATTTCTGATCTAGAGTTTAATCCTAACCACTCAGTCTAACAGAACTCTTCTCTGACTTTCTAAGATACAATGACAATTTCATCATCCTGTTTCACTTTAGGAAATCTTATGAATAGCAGATCTTTGTTGGTATAACAAGCTCAACTGCTGAAAGTTACACAAACTGCTCCATTTTGCTGCAGCTGGCTGGCAGAAAGGCTTGGATCCAGTTGAAAGTGCTACTGTTCTACACAGGATCTCTTACAAAAAAGCAGACCTATTTGTATTCAGGTTAAGCAACCTACTTACCCATGCGGACCCCAATATATGGAGAAACATTTTCATCTAAGCAACATGCAGCTTAGGAAGTTCGCAGAAACTGAAGTTAGTTCTATTACAGCAAGAGCCATGTTGTTATAAAATTAAAATATGTTTATATACTTTCAATCTAATCTTGCCAGTTTAACAGAGACATCACAAGCTGCCCTTTCATCCAAATTCAATCATGCCACTTTAAAGTAAGGTTCCAATTATCTTTTTTATAAGCTAGGTGATCAGTTTGTACATTTTACAATAACTTTACGGATACATACCTTTTGAAGAATTATATTTTTTTCTAACATTAATGAAAAACACCAATGGCCGACCCAGTATAGTCTCTCTGTAGTTTTTGTAATCATAATGGGTATTCAACTCTACGTGCCTGTTCAAGAGAATAAAGTTGTGTAAATATTCAGGCCATCAGTGAAATGGCAGAATTTAAAAATGTAATTTTATGTGAACTCAAGATAATTTCTTCTAGGAACACTGAAAGCAGCAAGACCATTCATCGAGTTTCTCTCAAATGTACCCACCATAGATTTTTATGGCCTATCATATGTGGGAAAAGAAGGGGTTAATAGTGTGGAAATTATAGGAGGAGCAGGAAGTGGAAAAGATAATTTATGGAGGGTTATAGGACAACCAGGAGAAGCAGTAGCTTTCAGCCAGAACTGTGATGACATTAGTCCTGACCACAAATCTTCCTCTTTCTCCAGGAAAATAACTGGAAAAAGGGGAAATGGCATTAATGCAGACTCACTACCATATAGAATTTAACGTTTGTGCATAGCTTCAGATTCAGTCTAAAAAGTGCTCTAGAACAGCATGCAAATTTAGCACCTGCGTGCAACTAATTAAAGCAACTACCTTTTCCTAGGACTGTGACAGCTCCATGATCTCAGAAAAAGATACAGTTGCTTTAAGGACTTGTATGCAAGTGCAACATCTGCACTCTGATGTCTCCAAAGTACTTTTTTGGAATAAAACCCTAAGCACTGAATAGCTGTGGTGGATATATTAAATCAATCTAATGTGGAACACACCCACAGGAAATCAGAGTTTCTGCCCCACTCCAACCAGTGTGGCTTGGAAATGCCATTTTTTGGCTAATTTATAGCTTAACATATCAAAACAGGATGTACACTGATTCTGTCCACACCTAACTGGAAAATGTAGGCATAAATTACAGCTGAAAATCATTGATTATTCCTTTGGTTATTCAAAGACAGAAGATGCATGCAACTCAGGTTCAGATGACACTAGACTCAAAACAAGGGAGAGAATACTGCTGACCTACAACTTTATCAGTCCCAGTCTGACTGATGTTGAAGGATGCTGGAAGCCATAGTTTAACATCTAGAGGTTTTCCATCCTTATCCTAAACTTACTAGCAACAACTGTTTCCAAGCTTCTCCAGTTTGGAGGCAGAGAGAACAGTGTGTTAGCAGAAAATTCCAAACAGAGCTGTTAACCTAATTTAGCATAATACCCAACTGTGCCCAGAAATCATGCCATCTTATCTTTGTCCTGTCATACATCTACATACATGGTTTGGTACTTACACTTGCTACTGCTACAGAGCCTTCTTACAGAAGAGTGGGATTTTTGCAGGTTTCAAGATAGATATGAATAATATATGAGAAATATATATAATTACCAAAACAAAAAAACCTGTAACTCTTGTTAATGGAAACTGGTCTTCTAAAGCAGTGTTTCAATGTTGGCAACTTTAGGATGTGTGGACTGTAACTCCCAGAATTCCCCAGCTGGGTTATTCTGAGAGTTGCAGTCCACACATCTTAAAGTTGCCAAGGTTGAGAAACACTGTTCTAAAGGATGAGCCAAGTTTCATACTTTTAGCTGATAAGGCAAAAGACCCCATATTTTTCCTTACGACTGCTGTTTAGGACACTGTTGGTTTGTTTCTGTTCAGTTTATAATGGTTTTCATTTTAATGTTGTATTTCTTTCTGTTGTAAGCTTCTTTAAGCCTTGTTGGACTGAGTGACATATAAACTGTATTAAATAAACCATGATATAGTTTATGGCATGAATAAAAAAAAATGTTTTCTGTATTTCTTTCCAGTAAAGAGGTTAAAAGTACAATTAATGAGTCCCGTCTGGGGGAGATGGGCAGCACATAAATTTAATAAATATGTAAATAAAGTTTTATAGAATGTAGAAAACAAAAATGAAATTCTAAATACACAATATACACAAATACATGAATTCTAATAGAATATGTGTATTTATATAAAGCTAAGATGTTTACTAATCATTTTATTATTCTCCTTGTTTTGCATCCTCTAAATTGAATTTGGCTTTTGAATGTTTATCATCAATAGAAAGAATCTTGATTTAGAAAACTATTATTTTTGAAGTACAGCTCATACCACATAATTACACAGAAATAACCACACGTGTTTTGGAAACAGCATCTTTTTAAAAAGTAGTTAAGGATGTGTCACCTTTTCTCACTTAAATATGCATATCTTCTAGAATTTTAGACTTCATATTTTATTGAGAGTTTGAATATTATATTTTGATTAATCTGGCAAACGAATTTATCTGGGATAGGCACAGTGAAATGAAGCACCTAAATACCAGTTGAAGAAATTGATAGTTCTTAATAATTTAAACCAGTTTCTATATGTTAAGCAGATGCAAATCTACTCCTTAATTTCAGAGTCCAAAATTCTAAGCAAAAATGAAATTCTGAGCATCTACCCAATTAATGAACGAAGCTACAGTTGGATTTGCAGTACAGCTGTTAAGCCAGGCTATTTGGCTGAATGGATGAAATACTTGTTTGTGAACTGGATAGAAATACTTGAATGAAATAAACACACTTCATTTTAAAAGAAAAATCTTAGTCCTGTATAAGATACCCAGAGTAGCCTAAAATTCAAAAGCTCTGGTTCAAATGTAATAGATCTGATGCAGTTCCTTTTCATATAAACCATGGCTCAGATCCACTGATACTCTTAAAAGCTGTAGTCAAGATAATGCAGAAAAGCACATGGTCCTATAAACACTTAAGCCCTCCTTAACTGTGTTTGGTTTTCAGTTTAAACAGATTCAGATAATCAGTACAGAATTACTGTACTGTACAGTACAGATAGGCCAAAGAGGCAGAAAAATGAAACGTGAATAGCTCATAATACAGAACTTCAAAAGCTTCCTAATTAATTAGGTATGTTTTAACAGGGAGCAACTGTGGACAGTTCTATAGGACTAACCAAATACTTCTGTTTGCTCCAGGGACCAATTGGTTTGTATTTATTAATTTCATACTACAGTATGTGTTCATCTAGCTTGACTAACATTTTCCACGTAATGGTTGACAACTATATATTTTTTCCTCTTCAGAAACCATTTAGTTATGGATAATTCTATTATTTAAAACTAGAACTAGTTATTTTGTAAGCATATTGCAGCAAAACTGAATGGTTCATATTCCTACCATGGCTAATGAGTACTACAGAATAAAGTACTGCAAGCCGCCAGCTAGACCTAAGAAAATTTGGAAAGGAGCTAGAAGAAATGAACATACATGCACCCATGAGTCAGCTAAGCCAGACATGCTGGTTATCCACTGAAAGTGATTCATTTGCAGGGTATAAAGTGTGAGGTACAAGTTAAGATGGCACAGCTTTTTAAACGGAAAAGGCAGTGGAAAACTTAGATCATCATTTGCTTTTGAAAAACGGAAAGACAGGATCAAAATTACAAGTTCCAATTTCTCAGAACTGGGGGGGAAAAAACATTGGTGGCAAAAGCCAGATAGATGGTTTTATTATTGTTTTATGTTAATGAATGCCCTTCCTCCCATGTTCGCTTCTGTAATATGCATATTCTTATAGCCATGTTACCTGGTTTGCTTCCCCCACATCTAAATTGTACCTCTATCTGGTTTAACATTATGGTCAAGCCAACAGGTCAAAAACGTTGATTACACCTTCTCCATTGAATACCATCTTCTCCATAGAACTGATATCCTGATGTGTTAGGTGCCCAGAAGACATGTCTAATTAGGAAACAGCCCATGATCTCCTACCACGATTTTAGTAACAAGGAATCCAGTGTTATTAAAAGGACCCAAGGATGATCTCTCCAAAGGGCAAACATCCCCCTCAACTCTTTCTTCCCATCTGCACTGCTGTTTTCTGGGCTTTGCTACAACAGTGACAGATGTAGCAAAAGGGTATCTGCATTAGTTAATGTGAACTCTTCCCCAGCCATTCCTTTTACTAGTCATGTGCTTACAGGAGCTGAACTAAATCTTTCCAGTATGTTGCCATCATAGACTTTGGAAGCACTGTCTTCCTTCCCTGAAGCAGCCCTGCTGAGTTGGGTTTCACAGATGGAAGAGTCAGCCAACTTCCTCAGTTGGATCCAGAATCAGACAAAAGAGCAGGATACTAAAACCCACCCCCTGAATTTGTCTGAGTCCCTGGCCGCAATAGAACCATGGCCCTCTACAAATTGCAAAGGAAAGATAATTGCTTTTTTCTCTCTGCCTGCCTCCCTCTTCAGAAATACTCAATTTTATTGTCCATTCCCAAGCAACATGGCAACTATATAAAAAGATGATTTATTCTTAGCATGTGTGTAAGAGAGAGAGAGAGAGAAAGAAGGAATGAGAAGGAATGCTCCATCCTGTAAATGTTCCTCTTTCTGACTTTCTTCATTGTGGCAAGAGTCTCTATTTTTCTCTTTCTACCTTCTCCTATAACCGAACATTGTGTAAGTGAATCACCTCTTGAAACGTTCCTTATTCTGTCTGCTACTTTCTGAATCCCTTGCTTTTTTCCCCATTGGCTGAAGATATTGTCTTGTCTTTCTGTTATTGAACTGAATGTATTAAAATCAGTTAACTGCTTATTATTTGATTCCTTTGTATGTTAGTCTTGGATATTCTCTATGTTGCTTTATCCATAAATGTTCTACTGTTTATTATTTGATTTCCCTGTATACCAATATGTCAAATATTATTTAATAAATGTTATTTATTAGTTATTAATTAGTTCCATTTTTAACTTCTGGAATACATAAGCCTGTTTAATAGCCTACAATGTTAGGTTCCAACAGAAGTGCTGCTGTGACAAGCCCATTCATAGTAACTTCATCTCATGCGTCTCTGCATGGAAGCAACTGACAACATGAGTATGACAATATCATCATACAACAATGCTGCAACTTACATGCTTGCATCAGATCGCCAAAAGCAAGTCTTTCTTCGGTCAAAAACAAAACAAAAAATCACCAAATTAACTCTAGGGCTTATAATATAGCTTTCCCATCTTTCTCACCTCCAAAATATGGAAAACGTACCCCCATTTTGCAATATTTGGGAATATAGGGTAACAAACCCTCTTTAGATCGCATTCCAAACAGATCCAGTACTTTTTCTCCCCAAATATAGGGCCAAACTATTTATCATATTCAACTTCCCATATGAAAGTCATATCTGCATACATTCAAATACAGAGGTTGAATCCGTATCTCACATTCTATTAAGTGTATTTAGTGGTAATCAGAAGTCAGAACTCCAGCAGTGGTGAAATCTGTTGATTTAACTTACAGAAATCAACTGCTGTCTTCTTCACAGTTTTGACTTTCATGTAATTTTTGCATAATAATGTATGCATTTTAATGGTTATACATGTTTTAATGTTTGTTGGTTTGCTCTTGAACCATTAATAAATAAAAAAAAGAATCATAGTAATCTTAAATTACATGATATGCTTTGCCTTGTGAAGAAAGAGTTCTTCTTAGCTAACTGGTAGGTGCGTGCCAAGAATAAGTTGAAGGGTGTTACTCCTTTGCACTCCTGGAGGAGAACCAATGACTCTTATTTGCTTTCGTAAAGAAGGCACATTTCAAAAGCTGCCTCTACAGAAGATTTCCAAAGACTACATAAAATACGTGCCATAATAATGTACTTTACAGAGAATCCTTCACGAAGCAAAGGAAAAGTCACATCTGTTTACTGATCTTTGAAAGGCCAAGCTTTTATATTGTAAGCCTTATCAGACAACAAAAGAAAACAAAAGTATGCAAGAATAAGCTGTTACAAGCTCTACAATTCTGTCAAACACATCAAGATTAATTAGCAAAGAAGCCACAGGCTACTTGCTTGATTTTCAGAAATTATTTTAGAATGTCTTAGAGGAGGCTATACAGTAATAAAACCTAATTGCCTTGATCACTGCACACTTGTTACTGGTGGGAGGGGAGATAGTTTATTAATAACAGCGTAGTTTAATTGGTACAGCTCATTTCATATGGATGAACAAATCCAGTCCACAACAGTTCCAGGAAAATCTAGCCAACCTTGGAGAACCGCATTATTGAGCAACATAAACCAAAGACCTGATGGTATATAGCAGCATATTTGGATTATTTTTGGTAGTGCAGGGTTGGTTTTTTTCTCAGCATGGTGTCATCCAAGCAGGAAAAACCCTTGGATTGGAATTCCCGTCTACCCACTCACCCAATGCCTGCCCCATTCAAACTATCACCCTTTGTGTCTTCTATTGGTGGCCATTTCTCCTGACTGCACTATCTGGATGAGACAAGACCTCTCTATCAAGGCAGATGAGACTAGCAAGGCTTCCTCCTCCTCAGCTGGGTCTACTTGCTATCTGATTCCTCCCTTCAAAGCAGGCCCTGAAGCAATCATTCCACTAAATCAGTAGTTGTGAATGAGTGGTATGCACAACAAAGATAAGACTAAGAACTAGTCCAGGTGGGACTAGTAGTCTTTGAGCACAGGTTATAAATATCCTTCTTTGGAAAAGTAATCTTTCTGTTTCTATCTCAGTGGGAGCCTTGATCGGTGGAACTGGAGATACAAAAGCTTGAGAATTATTGCATCAGGAGATGATTGCTATGTACAGAGCTGATTCGCAACATTCCCTCTATCTACACGGTCCTTGTTCTATCAGGTCTCTTATACAGCAACTACATGGTGAAATGCAAGCTTGGCAGATATAAATCATGGTAAATAAGTACTCCCCATCTGAGAAGGCCGGCTGAAGGTCCCTCAGAATGCTCCAACCTTCTTGGCTGCATCAACCCCGGATTACTTTTGGTTCTTAAATATATGCAGAATATGGGGTGTCCTACATTTAATGAGTATCAAACACTGGCCAAGTTACCAGGCAATCCTATCCCCAGTTCTTATTAACCAGGAAATGGCTATTTTAGCCATTGTTGTTAAGGATTGTTTTTTGCAATACATTTCATCTGGTCTCCCGCTACATCCTGTTCATCTGTTCAGTCTGGCTCCTAGCTTAGGACTATGGTGAGTGGGGTGTTCTTCTGCCATTAAACTTATTTCTTGAGAAGGAAAAAGCTGCACCAGCTTTTCTCCTCCAAGCCTACCTTCCCTGATAAAGCCTCTCCATCTCCCCGAGTCAAGAAACAGTAACCTACTCACCCACCCTACCATTTCGTAGCCTGCAAATAAGAAAGAGAATGAGAGAGAGAAAGACCAATTTGGTTTGTAGACCATGATTAGTGGTTGGGATTGAGGCCCATAAATAAGGGACCGTTTTACGAATTACCTTGTAGCTCCAATGCTTTTTACTGGCCACCTGGCAGGCAGCAGACAGACTTTTTTCCAAACTTAAAAGATCTACGAATACCAGACCCCCTCTTCCCGCAGCCCTGAAGGAGGCAATTCGCATCCCCCGAGTGGGTGTTTTGAGAAGGCAACCCCTGGATCGAGGCGAGCGCGGGGAAGGGAAGAGGAAACGCGCCCGCTTACCTCTTGAAATAGCCGGTGAGGCTGCACTGCTGCCGCCCATCCAGCTGGAGAAACCCGTCGCTTATCACCGTGAAGCCGCCCCCGGGCCGGCGGCTGAGCGGACTCAGCACCGCCAGAGCGTCCCCTTGCAGCTGGAAGGCGTCCGGCTGTAGGGCTAACAGCTGCCGCAGCGGTAGCACCGCCATCTCGCAGTTGCACGTCCGAAGGCTCTGCAGCTCTCCCGAGGAGACGGAGGTCAAGCTGGGCCTGACCGAGGTTGTCGAGACGGAACCGGACCCGCTCCAGGCAGCCATGGCGGTTCCGCGCACGGGGCAGCGGAGGGAGCGAGAGATGCGGGGGAAGCCAACAGCAGCCACAGCTGGCGCGCCAGGACCGAAGGCAGTGCTACAAATTGGCTGCCGGCCTCGGGAAGAAATAAAAAGCACCGAGGCATTATAGCTCCGCCTCTGAACGGCCGGGGAGTAAGAGCGGAGGGCGGAGGAGCAGCAGCAGCGCAGCTTTGACTGCTCGCCATGGTTTGTCACCCTGCGCAGCCACGCGGGAGACGCAGCTGCTGGGCGGAGAAGTCCGCCGGGCTCGCCAAAGCGGCGTGGCGACGGCGCTGACCTTCAGAAGTAGCCCTCAGAGAGTTGCCTTCGTCCTCCCCCCAGACTGCCCCTGCCTCCCGGGCTGGCTTCGTAGCCTTACCGCGCGTTTAAGCGTATTCGCGAAGAACAGGTTCGTTCATACGTGCGCCCCCTCCCCTCCTTTCCCTTGGCCAGCTGGAGGAGGACTGCTTGAGGAGGATAGCCTACGGCAGTGTTGTCCAAACTTGGCCACTTTAAGATGCGTGGACTTCAACTCCCAGAATTCCCCAGCCAGCATGGGGGCTGGGGAATTCTGGGAGTTGAAGTCCACTCATCTTAAAGTGGCCAAGTTTGGACAACACTGGCCTAGGGGTTAGAACAACTTGAGAACAGGGTGTTATAGGCAAAACCGGGGAACTGGCTCATGCTCGAATCTAATCGCGTGTTAAACGGCTACACGAAAAGTTTCATGGGCCTATGAAGTTGCGCTACAGAATTATAATCCCCGTTTAGAGATCCGGCCCTCCCCTTTTCTAGATGTGCACTTGCCAGGCACCTGAAGGGGTTTTTCCGTGTGAGAGAGAGTCAAGTTTCAGGAAGGAATTCCCCCCTCCCCACCCCCAGGTAGAATAGCCTCACATACCTGTATTGTTATGCATCAAAGATCCTATCACGTGGCTGCGGAATATGTAACCGAGGAGCAGAGCTGTAAAAAAACAGCCTGTAACTTCCCTATGCAGTCAATTGCAGCGGGGGCGCTGCTAACTGAACCCCGCCATTATTGCAAAACTCCCTCAGAGTCTGCTGTTAATGCTAGCAGTATTGAGCAATGAAAATAAAATCTTGTGCTGGTAAACTTGATATCCTGGAAGTTAAACATAGAATATTTGGAGGGAATATGAAAAATTATTTGTTGATGGCATTTTGGGGGGGAAAACCCTTGGCTATCCTCTTGTCAAGTTCTGATGGTTCCCCATTTGTATTTCCGTAGGTCCAAGTCTACTATATTGCTGTTGGTCACACACTATTTTCTGAGCTCCGTGTCAACCATTATGTGGTGTTGCAGCCATGCAGTGGTGAACCTACCTTATTTAAAAGCTTGTATTTTATTTAAAAGCTTTAAAAATATTTGAATAGATAGTTTTCCTGGTGTATGACTTTTTTGTTTGAGATGCATATCCACTTTAATAAGAAACCAATCCTTTCATTGCACAACACTAGTTACTGTAGCCTGTCCAATGGAATTATTTCCCAGTTGGTTTTGTGCTTCTTTCAACAAGCACAGTGGAATTTTTCACCCATTAACAGCTGGGTTCTACAACCTGGCATTATTTGGCCCATGAGTAATGATTTTGCTCAGACTGGCTGGTGCTGTTCCAAAAGTTAGGCACAAACTCCACCCATGAAGTGCATGATGAACTTTAAAATGTACTCTGCAACCCTCAAGGACTAGGCAACAACGTGCAGTGGGTAACCTAATTTCCAGCCTTGTGTCCCTTTCTGGCAACCTGCTGAATGCAGAGGGAAAATGGAGCATCAGGAAAAAGAAAAATTGATTACTGGAAAATGACTAGTCCTGATGACTGCAGGCTTTGGACACGCCTACCAGTAGCTTCACTTTGGTCCTCTGCCAGTATCAGACTATTCCTGATAGTATGTGGCCCTTGAGAGAAAAAAGTCTACCATGCCCCCATAATAACCAAGTTGTTGATATGTTTCACAAATTGACACCTGAATAGATCAACTGTGTTACAAGCTTCAAATTTAGCTGGCATTCAGGAAAAACTTGGTATTTAAAGTGGTATTACACTATGCTTTAAACTACATGGAAATTGTTTATTTGTTGAGGGATTAATAATATAGCTTAAAAACTGTGTTGTGTGACTGTTACTTTATTAACTTCTTAAAGCCTTTAAGTAGTATGTTTGTGACTGCCCTACACAGTGCTACTGGTTAGCTTGGAAATTAGCTGGGCAGATTTTTCACACATTCCCATTCAGAGGCTACATAAACTATATGCTCAACACTACAAGAGCTTCTGTTGCTGAGATTTGACTGTGAGATGGGAAGTTACCTGTTATGATGCTGCAATAGCAAACACAGCTTCTCAGGAAAGTAGGTTTTATAATGGTATCCTGGGAAATATTAGATGGGAACCGATGTCTTCACTCAATTATGAGAATAAAATCCCAGCCTATCTGGAACATACTAGTGATCTACTCTGCAGTCCTAGCACTTTTCTTCCATTCCTGGTCCATCTAGACTTCTCTAGATTTATAGCCTGTTAGAGAGGAGGATTCAGGGTAGGTGTCTGGGTATGTGTGTATAAACAAGCAGATCAAGAAACATGTAAGTCAAATATGCATATTTAGGGTCATTTTCTTCAGAAAGCATGACTTTCATTTGATGTGTGGCAGTCAAGAAAGGGATGGATGGCATGCGTAAAGACATGAGCCATTCATTGTTTGCTTTGGGATTAGGGGATCTGAATGGAATGCATGGATCACTCTTATTGCACGACTAGGGGATTCCAGTGGCGTGTGGTTTGCATTGCCAAACAGCTCACTGTCCTAGGTCTGAAATGCACAGTAGACTCACCCTTGGCTTTTCATATTAATTTGCACACAGCAATGGCCAATAGAGCAACTGTAGGCAACCTCCATAGGCTCTAAGTTACAACTGCCACAGTATCTTGCCATTGGTCATGTTACATAGGGGCTGATGCAAAACTTGTGGCAGTACCAACAGGAAAGAAACGGGGTGTGTTGTTTAATTGAATAATGTTTGGCAAAACCAAGCCTATCCAAAGGTCCTTGAAATAACCGTCCAACTAGTTTCTGTAGATGGTGTCACCATTCCAGAGAAAGATATTGTACTTTAATGAGAAAAACAAGGTCATATGTGCCCGCTGCATAGTGATCTCTTCATTGTTAAGTTGCCAATCCTGGAAAAAAAAGTGGTTCTGCTAAAACATTGGGAAATAATCTGTTTATACAGTCCGTAAGAATCATGTAATCTCTAGCACTAATAAACTGTGTGTGTAGCAGGCAATAGGCCTCAGAAGTTAAGATTTCCTCAGATAATGTGCAGGACTGGATAAAAAGTTCCCTTGCCCTTGGATAATCATATTTAGTAATTAGTCAAAACATTGTAATCTACTTTTCTTTAGAAATTCACTCTTCCCATGCAAAAATAGGTGTAGCTCACTCACTTTATTTACTGTAATTTTAAAAACACTGTTATATTTATTTAGTTCTGTAAAAGATTCATAACAATAAATATAGTCAAAGTACATAAAAACAATTTGCCAAAGTACAGTAGTCTCATGTTGCCTATGTTATCTATGCCTCCTCAACCCTTGGCAGCATTTTTGAGTTAAAAAATTAAAGCATTGCTGATACCATTCAACAATGCGCATCATTTATTAAAAAGTTCCATTCAGTAGCTTCCAGTTCAGCATTGCCCACTATCGTTAATATTTATAGCATTGCCGTCTCTTATGATCAGATTATACTCCTAGCTTTTTAATGAGTACTCAAGTTGGTGAATTTCTAAAGAATTGTTCCATAACTAGTTAGTCCTATACACTTCATGAGCAAATAGAGTGTTTGTGCTTTCTTTTCCTTAATATTTTTCTTTAATGGGAAAACATTAAAGGGAAACTCAATCTGTATGAGCAGAGTGTAAGGGTGTAAAAAAGATACTTCAGTGCACAAAGGGATACAAACATAGTATTTGCCTGCATCACTTTAAAACAGTATTTTTCCCCCCGAATCTCGCAGCTGCCTTTTGCAGTTGCTGTGCAATCCTGGGAAAAGATGGGTTTAATTTCAGAAATTGCAGAGAGGTGCAATTTTGAACCTTTGGACTGCAAAGCACTGTTCAGCCCTAGTAGAGTGTTGAATTCACATCAAGGAGATTCAGATTCAGTTTCCCCATTAGCCACAGTGCTGTAGTCTGATCTAAATATTATTAAATTTTTCTTTTGAGAGAGCCATATGTGCTGCCCTGAACTTCTTAGATTAAGGGAGGAATAAAAATAGAATAATCATGAATCAACATTTGTAACAAATTTGATTTGTCAACATGTATGCTTATTACAGAATTAGCAGATTTGCTTTGAACAATTCGTATAAATTCTATTGCAAAATTATCTTCAGGAAAAACAGGAAATATTTTTTGAGTGATCTCAGCTAAATTTCAGTCTTTCCAAATACTTTGGAAAATGAAATGAATGCTTATTTAAATTGTAGTAAATCATTTGGGGCTTTTTTTTAAGAAACACGTGCCCCAGTTTTTATTTAACTTATGATTTTATAGTTGAACTGTTCTCTTTTTGTGTTCGATTGATGAGTGAAACATATTCAAATATGAACAAATTCTGCAAATGAAGGGGAGTGTGTGTGTGATGGGATAGACTATGGCATGAAGACAACTAAAAGTTTTCATTTGAGATAAAGTATTTCAGAGCCACAATTTATAATTACCCATGAAATCCTAGATCAATGGCATAAACGTTTTTTTTTAAATTAAGATAAATCCATGCCTTTAAAATAGAATTGTGCTATTTAACTTAGGAAAGTAGTATAGAGCACTGAACTAAAACACAAGTGTTCTGCTGAATGGTCCAGTTGCAGCTGGAATCAGTATGTGCTACTACATTTACTCTGGAGAAGGGTTGGATAGTGAATGAGGTTGCTAAGGGCTAATGGTGCACTATCTTAAGCATCATCAAATGGATCTGTCTTGTTTTATCTCTAATCCAGCATTGTTAGAAGCAAAACATAACTGGGTAATTTATGAGACTGAACCATGGAACTTTTAAACTCTTGTTT